TATATATATATATATATATATATATATATATATATATACGTGTATTCTCTGAGCGTCACCCTCCCCTCCCCCCCTTTTTTTTGTGTGTGTGTGTCTGTCTGTGCGTGGGCCGCTGAGGTGGTGCAGAAGAGCAGAATAAGTGCGTGAAGCGGAAGAGGCGAGAGGGATAAGGAGAAGTTGACCGACGAGTTGAGAGCGACCGGCTGCGTGTGTTGTGCCTGCATCGCCCAGCCGGGAGACGAAGAGCCAGCCTCCCATACACACACACACACACCATTGTCTCTGTACGGCTAGTTAGGAACCTTTTTTTGTTTGTTTGTTGGTGCTGGAGTTGCCCCCTCCCCCTTCGCTTTCCCCGTGCAAAGTAGCAGCGACACAGCGTCCGCAGAGGGCCAAAGCCAGTGACCACTTTTTCTTGTGTTGTTGTTTGTCTTTTTTTTTGTTTTGGCTTGTTGAATTTTTTTGTTTGTTGTTGTTTCCCCTCGGGCTGCCTCCGCTCGTTTTTGTGCTTTTTTGTGGGCGCCCAGACACGGTGCGCGTTTCCGGCCGCTCAGCCTGCGCACGTGCACAAACACCGGCGGCTGCTGAGTCTCCGGCAGGAAGTGCGCAGCAAGTTTTTCTGCGTGGGAGCGAAAACACACGTGAGGTGTGAAAAGCAAACAAAAAAGAAGAAGAAAAAAAAACATCAACAACTTGCGAAGGGATCGGCGCTGCAAGCGCCCCCCCCGTCGCTCATCTCGCAAGGAAGCATCCGCTGCTCTGCCGCCACCGGCGCCAGCAGCGGGGGATACGCGAGGCAATAAAGGCACCTACTTGCGGTTGCGCGCGCATATATCAATTTCAATATTATAGAAGGGCATACGCGGCGCTCAGTCGGTAGGGAGAGGAAGCGGTTGGCGTCTTCTTGAGTTATTTATTTGTTTATTTTTTTTTTACTGTTGGGGGGTTTGTTTTTCGTTTTGGCTCGTGGTGTTTTGTCGAGTCGTCGTGCGATGAAAGGGGGCGAGGAATCATCGCCAATACCGGACGCCGACGAGGGGCTTGCCGGGCCGCCGCAGGCGCAGTCGCGCCTCGTTCAGCCGGGGAGCAGCCTGCGGCGGCCCGTCCCCGGCTCCGGACCGAATGACGGCGAGGGAGGGGCAGAGGCGCGAGAGCGGCCTGCGGCCACGAGGATGCCCGCGGGGGCGAGTGACGGTGCTGCTCTGATGGGGCCAAAACGAGGCTTCGCGGTCGCGGCGTGTGAGGCCGACCAGAGTACGCGGCAGGCAGGACACGAGTCTCAGCGGCCATCCTCCGCGTGCCAGGCAGATGCGTTTATATCCAAGCTGAACCCAAACGCCAAGGAGTTTCGGGCGCCTTGTTTTCAAATTAATGGAGCTTGGGCCGCAACTTCGGCGCCCATGTTGCATTCGACACCATTTTGCGAGTCTGGGCCCTTGGCGGCTGTGGCGCTCCCTGCAGGACCCACAGCGGCCGCAACGCCGTGGCAAGCAGGCGCAGTAACTGGCTCTGAATCACTCCCTGCCCCCGATCGCGGGGCGCAAGCACAGAGGTGGCCGCATGCCTCAGCGTCTCCAATAACGCCAAACTCGCATGACCCCACCGCCGTGCCTTCCACCGCGTTGACGCCAGACGTCAATGCAGAACAGACCATGGACAAGTACGTTGAATATTGCCGTGGCAACGGATACCACCTTGTGAGCGTCTCCAACCTGGATCCTAGCACCACGCAGAAGGAATTGCTGGACATATTTTTCCCATTTTCCGCCCTTAATGCCAAGTTGTTGCCACCGCACTGCCAAGCACAGCACCCTTCTCGTGCGGGAGTGGTGTTTTTCCCTTGCAGGGGCACGGCGGAGTTGGCCGTTGGAAAGTTCGATAATTTTGTTCCGCGCAAACAACACAGTCAGCTGAAGGTGCGGTATTTAGGTCCGGATGCGTCGGAGGCTGGGACACACGACACACTGGTGTCCTCCGCTAACTCCGCAAAACCGTTGACTACCGGCCAGCAACACTCGCAACCGCCGTCAGAGAGGCCGCGAGGCGCTTCACGGCAACCTTCGCGTCCTCGTAAGCAATCAGAGCGGGATAGCATACACGAAGCCATGCTGCAATTTGTGATGAGTGGCAAGGAGTTGCCTTATAACGGGGACATTAAACACTTTCTGGCTCTTCATGGCCTGAATGCAGCGAATGCGGAGAGAGTGCTACAATCCAATTTTGTCTGTAAAGGGGCAAAGTGGCATCGTATATGGACAATGAATCCCACTCCCTCCCCCGTCGCCACAAATGCGCCCAAAACAGTCAGTGCCCTAGTCGGGTTCACACAGGAGTCCGTCGCGAAGGAGGTGGCAGCGTGGGTGCAACAGCAAAATCGAGGCGAAGACAAGATACAGGAGGTGGATATTGTGTATCTTAATAGTCTGGAGTTTGCCTGCAAGAAACCTTCGATTGACACGTCGGAGGTGCACGGTGTCACCCGCGCCGCTACCAATAACAGCAGTCAGGCGACTGTTTGTCCTAATTCAAATATGATGTTCCTTGGAAACGATGATGTGTTGCATCCTCGCAGCCACAGCGACCCCAGCCTGCCCCGGGCTGGCGTTCACAGCCACGCCCCAAATACAGAGAATGGGACACCATCCAGTTCCTTGCACGGCGGTCATGCTGCGGAGCTGCACCCTGCCGCTGTCGAATTTGGTGCTGAGCCGCGCCGCAGTGGTGTGGCAGGATTTGGTAAGGAAGCCAAGAGCCGTGAAGAGGTGGAGAAATGGGTCTGTCCTGTTCAGACGACACCGTCGAGACCGATGAATGCTCGCCAACTGCGAGAAGGCGGGAGCCCACAAGCGACGAAGATACTTGCCCCTGCCTTTTCTCACTCCGGCATGGCGGAGAGTTTGTCCAGTGCGGTGCCTGGCGCCAAGTTAAATGAGATGGTTGCGGCTGTGCAAAAGAAGCTCAAAGAGCCTGCCCTGAACGACAAGCAGCTGATGGAGCAGATGTGGCGGGTAATCACGCACCCAGATACCACGAACAAGGTGGTTGAGCAGCTGGCCTCCGTCATTACCGGGACTCTGACTGAAAAGAAGCAAAATGCGGGAACACTCTCTACACCACTAGCGAATGCATTGGTTTTGCTGCATGAGAAGCTGAATATTCCGCGGAATGGCTCGAATGACGTGAACATGGAGGAGGGTCTTTGCAACCCCGATGTGAGGAGGTACATGGATTACATGTTATTGATAGCACGCGCCCTGATTCTTCTATTTACGGATGAAACGAAGCCGCCTGAACTACGCAAAGTTGCCGCTGTGTTAAGCGGGTACATGTTTCGATTTTCCTGCCTCAGAGACCAGACCCCGTACACGCTGTCCGTGTCACTCATGAATCGGCATAAGGCTGCGCTGGATGACGCCCGCAAATACATGAAGAGGCGACTCATGAGCAAAAAATTTTGCGACGTTTGAGGAGATGGAGGAGAAGAAGCACGAGCCGTGGCTAACGCTGCTGGACTGCCTAGAGCTGATGACGTCGGTTTGGC